CCGTCGTAACTTGTGGTGTGTGTTCTGCACTCGACACTACTGTCGTTTTCCGAAATAGAGGATACGTGCAACGCTACAATCTCATGGAATGTACTTACCTCTCGTTGTTAATAGTGAATTCGGGAAATTATGAATGACCCCATCTCAGCCAGATTTACTACTTTCGCTAACTTTGCCTTGGATTTGCAGTCCACAAAATGGCGTGTGCAGCGATCGCTCCCATCGCGCACTGCGGGCGACAAAACTGCGCGAGGTATGGTTGTTCAGGATTTGTCGCGCAAATTTGTCACTGGTCTGTCGAGCTGCAATTTGGCCCCTACATATATCCCAGAACGAGATATGGATGTAATAATACCAATGATGTTGCAGTAAACGCTCCCGGTGACTTCGATTACGAGTTCAAGTGCTCCCGTACCAAAGCACGGGCGCACGCATACTAATCGTATTTCATGGTGGTGCATAATTTTCTATAAAAATTTATTTTTTGTCGCATATTTTGATTGCACATCAATAAAATATTTGTTCAATTGTTGACCTTCCTAGAGAGCTTCAGATTTTTAGAACCGTAACACAGAGCAAAGTGGAGAAACACTTCACATAAATTATGGCCCCATGGTTCTTATAATGTAACTGGTGACTGTAGAAAATGTTCATTGCTTATAAAAATATCCGCAAATGTCAAGCACAGCTTTGAGCAAAGATAAATCAATATGAGATCCGACCAACTTCCGAGAAAGGAGGCTCAGGGTATACATATGTAATCCGCATTGATCCCGAGAGCAGTTCGCAGTGTCCAATGCAAATCCTGTAGTCGATCACCGTTATCTCGCAAATATCGATGGATCTAAAAGTTGTGGTGGGTATACATATGTATGGCGCGGTACCTCACAAAAGTTATTAGATTAATATCTTGGGTCTTTTCAGTACTTAGAAACCTTTTGGAAATTCACATTCAAGAGGACGTTCAAGAGGTGAAACTGAGAACTACCCTAGCGACTTCTGAAACAGATCACATCCGCGCTATGTAGAGAATGATGTTCAGGATATCCCAATATTTAAGATGCTTCGTAACTTTGAACTCTTTCAGCGGAGGAAATCCACAAAAAAGTCAAGTTTTCTCGGTCTAAAAGAGTAGGTACAGATTTAGTGAAAATTGGTATTTTAGGAGGGTCAGGGATGGTCGTAGGAACTGTAGTTAGGAATCATTTGGAAAAGGGCAGTGTAATGCAAAAAGTGCAAGTTACCTATACCTGTCTTCGTCATTCACACCTCCCTCCCCTCCAGATGCTATCGACTGCTATGCTGACTATCAACCACTGCAGGAAAGGGAGGTCGTTCCAGTTCATGTAACACTAGAGAGAAGCTAGACCAGGCTCCCTCAAGTAAGTTCTTAACGGAAGAAAGCACACGCCTTCAAGCTTCCCTCGAAACGAGGAGGAATCGCCGGCAGCAGACATAAATTGAGATTGGGATATGTATGTAACATGCACTGGTATGCAAAACTTGAGGATGAGGTAGATAAAGTAACATAAGCGTTGTTGTTATGTACATACTTGGGGTTCAGCATTCTTGTGAAACTTTTTATTTATTTTATTTGTTAACGCTGCATAAGGCAGTCGTAGGAAACCGAGAAGCATCGTAAAATTGTTCCAGTACACTTCTACTAACTATAGCTCAACAATTCCTTCTTCACGAGGCGTTTGAAAAGTAAAAAAAGCCTTTGCTAGCTCTGTAGACCGTTTAACGGTTCCTGTTCACTGCTTTCGTTTACTTGCGTTCGTGGCGCGGCAGCTCTTTCTATGTTGTGGTTAAGGTTCCGGTGCCCATGGTACGCGCCAGAACACGTCGCTGGAAAAGCTACGTTCGTGCTTGAGTTTTGCACACCAGTGTGTATACAACTGTCTCTTTCGTTTTCTTCTTCAGCCCCATGAATGCTCAAAGGCACAAGCCAGGCAGAAGCCGTGTGAAATATTTCCTCCAGTCCGCAGGATAGACTCTTAAGAATAACCAAATGGCACCGCCGCGAATAGAAATCGCCCAACAAGAGCACTATGGCCTTGTCATTAAAACACTTGAGAAACCTCTTGAAGCCACCTACATGTGAACCGTGAATNATCCNNGAATTCGCAAAAAGAAAATATTTTCGACCCACTCACATCAAATTAGGCCAACATTCACGAACGGCATATCGAAGAACCAAATAAAATAACTACGAAACAAGCTTACTTCCTCCACAGCGTTTGGACCTATTTCCCTCATCGTCATATCGTAAAGTCTAGCCATTCGAAGTTCTGCAGCAAACTCCAACTTCCGAATCAATGGCATTTTAGCGACTATCAAATACGATTCCACTTCACGTAATACGGTAAGCATACGGTACTGAGACGCCAAAATACTCATCACCAAATAGTTATCTCTAAAACCATGCATTTTCTTTGGAACAGCTGCAGAACCTTTTATGATAGATGAGGAAAACTTGCTTATGAATGACGATCGATCCAAATCGAGCTGTAGCATGCAATAGTGTCTTCACATCTTCGGGCGAGATGTCAGTAACTTCGACAAAATCCACACCTGCTTCCTTAATACGATGCTATTTGGGGCAGACACAAATCAGAACTATCGAGGTCTCCTTGAACTCTTACAAACTCTTGAAATAAGAATAATAATGAATGATAAAGGAATTTTCGAGCAAGCATAGCACAGCACTCACTTGAGAGATCGTGCTAATAAGTCGGGATTGTACGAAATACTAAATAAAAGCCCGCTGTTTGAGGGAATATGAAAAATTGAATCTCTTCCTCCAGCAAAGAATATGTAGGTTTAGAGGGTATGTACCCAGAGGCAGGTATTGGGAATTCAAAAAGAACTGAAGAAACTGTGCTGTCCAGCAGAGTTAACAGCCAGCCGGAATACGTGTTGTTGTGATGGGGAAACCTCATGTCACGTCTTCTTTCATTAACACATTGACGACATTGAGACGCGGTAACGCGTCTCACTTTGCGCACCTCGTTGGACATTGAGACGCGTTACCGCGTCTCACCCTTATCATCCCTTTTTCTAGGGCATGCGCAGCTTTTTCCCGAATTGTTTGTCTCTCTTCTATGGATTAGAACATAACATTATTGTGAACGACATAGGTCATTGTTTGTTCAAATATGCTCCAGTTTAGAAGAAGTTTTCCAAGCTCACCGAAACCGGCGGCTTGGTTCATTAATAGTTTTCATGCTATTCTCATGAACACGTCAATAAAAAAGGGTAGTGAAAGTAAATGCAAATCTAAAGAGACAGAAAAATACATGTTTCACTTGGTATAACCACATCAAAAGAGCTTTTGGCATCCACTACAGATAAAATGACTAAAGTTTCCTTTTTCATTTACCATTACATGTTCTTTAATCGGAACTTCGTCACTATATACTCTATTACCTTCTACGCATTGACTGTTACTGAGATGTTTTTGTACCACTGGTGCTTTAAAAAGTTATCAATAAAAATTCACGGATCCGAGGTGCGGCGGTCGCACTCGCAAAATCGGCCCGGTCCCACACGGCCAAAAAAGCCAAAACGCGCGCGGTCGTCAATGTGTTAAAGTCGGAAAGATGGAATCGGCAGTGATATTTGAAGTGGAAGGGTTCCTCTCCTCCGACCTCAACTTTTTTGATAACGGGAAAACAATATAAAGTAAGATTAATGTTACAGACCTGCTTTACTTTCCAACTACTGAAAAGTGGACCACCAAGCTCTGCAAGTGTTCGCAAGTCAACGAAGAAATTGTACGGACCACACTGTTAAAAATGTATTGCCAATTTCATACTCATTTTCAACTTTCAGATGCTATCCTTTCATGAAAATAGAGATTAAAGGCGAGCATACTGAAGACCGATGATGGCGCAAATGAGCAGTTTGACAAGGGTAACACTGTGTCCCGTTGTTCATGCGAGTTCATCAAGGACGGCCGGGTGACGACCGTTTAGTTCCCTTGTCGCTTGGCAAGAGTGTTAAAAGGATGCTCTGTTCGACTCGAGGACACGATGTCCTCCATTCCTTTCGTTCAGAGCTTTCGTGAAGAAGTCTGATCCATCGGGCCGGCGGTCGTCCAGGTTGTTCGTTTGACGTCCCGAGGGATCCAGTCGGTAACCGCTCTGGTCCAACGGTCATCGCAAAATCGCATGACGTGCGTCCGGCCCACCTTATCTTCGATTCCTTGGCGAAAACGGCAGCGTCCCTGATCTTCGGGGGGGTTTTTCGGGTTGCACTGTGTTTGGAACTCGGGTCCCCTCTATTCCGCTTTTGAAGCCGCACGCGCCGCTAAGTAACGCTTAAAACGCGTTTGCTCGTACTTGTCCAAATTTTCGGGGAGTAGATGGGCAGGAACGGAGGCAGATTACGGAAATCACGTCTCTCAGGATACGGTGCCCTTTCCCTCCTCCCCCGCTTGAGCCTTCCCTTCCAATCAGCGAGGAATTTGAAATTTCGCCAAAATGCAGAGAGCTCACGCGAGAGGACCTATGTAAGTGGTAGAGACGTATTGGTTGCTGAGAATGAAGTTAGCTGCTCCTTGTCTCCATTAGAGTTCGAAAGCATTCTTTATAGGCGATTGAAGGAGACAGCTTCAAGATGTAAACTCAGACCTTCACGAGTCTTTCTACCTGTAGTTATGCTCGATCGTGGTGAACCCTACGGAACCCTGCTTGCTTGTATGGCAGTCCTTGATCTAGTGTTCTACCAGACCTGTTAAGGACGACTCGAGCGACAAGAGCTCGTAAGACGACAAACGGCAGACAGTTACTTACAATATAATTTTTAGCACGGGAGCGTGGAGAAAAAGAGCACTCCCAAGTTCGAGGAGCGCGGACTAAGGTGGCCGGCCAAGAGCGCTAGGCCTTGGCCTCTCTGCTACCGTGCTCCACACTTTCAACCATGGCATAGTGCGTTCTGCGAGCCTCTCGCGTACGACGTGCAACGTCGCATTTTCCCTTCTCGCAACGCTATGTCATCTCCGTCCATATGGCATGGCCGACCTTACGAGGGAACTTCTTGTCGAATTTTAGAACAAGATAAGAGATCAGCTCGATCCTGACCCGAGCCTTCACCTCCTATTTTACGGAATGCCAGAGTTGTTGGTTTTCCACAGAACGTGAACTTTTCATTCTGCAAGATTGCCTGTGAACAGTTGAGCTGGTAATTTGATGAGAACGGGCCGAATTTTTTGTTGTCTGTTCCGAAACAGGGGCAAGATCTAGATCTGTTGGAGAGAGGAGAAGGACTCAGGATAAGACATAACGTTACACTTCAGACAAAACCCAACTCACTCGAACTTCGAAGTTCCTGTATGCTGTCTGACGACTCAAATCAACTGGTGAAAGCAGCTGAACGGTGCAGACCATGAGATTCAATGGTCCACTGCTAGCTGTATGCTTCTCCAATACTTTCTTGCCGGGCTCCCAAAGATCCCGTTTCACCTGAAACACATCTTTTGACTACGTTTTCCACATACACAGTGTGAATAATGTAGCAGACTTTGAAAAATGTACCTCAATCGTTTCTTCTCCAATAGTCAAAACAAAATCTACCAAAATAGCATATTCCGCCGAATCTAACGGCTCTATCCGAAGGACAATTGTGTTCATTCCGGCAAGCTCTGTCACCTAAGCGGACTTATTCAATTTTCCTTGGTTCGAACTACAAGTGTATCTATAGTGATGAGGATTCTCCCGCAAGGTGGAGCACCTCATCCTCATCCGTACTCATCCATTAGGTAAGAGATGAAGGTGTATGGCGAGATATTACCTCGACTTCTACTGAAAGCATTTCGAAATTCCCCGTGGATTTTCGCTTCTTCGTACTTGTCCTCAGAACTGTTATATATTGATCCATTTCTGCAAAAAAAAGTGAATGTCAATTAAAACCTTTTTATGGATTTTGAATCAGATATGAATATAAGAGGCATTGCCAATTCCTAAAGATGAAACAATTAAACACAAAGAAAACCTCGTTACCAAACTGGATCAAGAGACCGAATAATCTTTAACACCTCTCAATGTAGTTACAAGTTCGTAAGTACAATTTACATGGCCAGAACACTTCGCAACTCCTGGGAGTCAACTAGCGAGCGTTGTGACGCAGTCAGTTCGACCTCAATGTTGTGTACCCCATACTGTGTACCCGATCGTACATCATCTTGAGCTGCTTCTATGCTTATCACCCAATCGTACCTCTCCCAATGAGAAATCTTTCCAAAATTCTTTTCCCAATCTTGTCAATAACCTCCTCGTCTGCACCTCTGTATGTACAGCGATACTGATTCTTGTTATCAACCAACCAGACCAGTAAATATCAAAAATAATAATACCAAGTGATTCTTATTCATAGAATGTTCCGATAATTGTAAATTTACTGCGTTCAAGATACGCATTTGCAAATCACATACACATTTTATGTACACTTCATACATGCACGAGGAATCGAGTGGTTACAATCTTATTTCACGTATAGTAAAATGTGTCAATAAAAGCAAGCAATAAAGAACGCTAAACAGAGGAACAATACTGAGCAGTCTACGAAAGAAATCCTCATCAAATCGGATAGAAATAGCCACAAAAAGAGTCATGCACTGAAAATTGTACTCTTTGGCCTACATCGGATCATCGGCCACTATGGATTATTTTACAGCTCAATTCAAAACTTTTAAAATATGAACGCTTAGT